TATATATATATGCACACACACACACATATACGCCTTTAGGGCTTTTAAGGTCTAGGCTTAGGAATTCACCTTACCCTACAATCTATCATGAGGATCCACCCTCTCATTAATTACCTACTGAGCTTCAGGCAGCCTCAGCCATGGGAGGATTCGCATTTAGGGGCTTAGCGTCTAGGAATCAGACTTAAGGAGGCTTCAGGTTTAGGTATCAGAACGGGTCCCGGCGTGGGATAGAACTTGATGAAAGGATTCAGCAGAAGCTGGGAGTTTGAAGCTGATCATGGGCAGGGGATATCCCCTAAACCCTAAACCCAGTTTCCACCCCGCATCTGTGCATACGTACATGTATATAACTACGTGGGGAAATACCGTTAGGGTCCTTTTTGCCTTTTGGTGATCCTTCTAATGGGCTTAGGGTTTAGGTTTAGGGCTTAGCAAGGATCACGGCACTTGGAGGCAATAAAAAGGAACACCCATCCACTCGAAATAGCTACCTATCTTCAGGGCCCTATCGTCCTTAGATGCTGGAAGTTCAGCAATTAAAGCAGTGTATCCTCTCTATAGGTTCAAAGAGAAATCCCAAGGTTTGGTTCAAGGCTGTGCCTCAACCCTCATAACCCGCGGGATCAATTTTCACACATCCCCCCTACAATTCTCAGTAAGTCCTATACTAAGGCTTCATATACAAAGGTACAGCCCGGGGGGGGGAGGGGAAACTAAACAGTTCCCAACAAGTCTATACAATAAGCCTTCATATAGCCACCAGTATCACTTTAGGGGGCTGTTCGTGTCTTGGAGTCACAATCCAATATTATAATACCCTCAAGAACCTGTGAGTTGATGCAATGCTGTGTCAGACCCCTCAAATCGTGCGACCTGTGAGTATGTGCATCTACATCTAAAATTGCGTGAGGGCTTCCCACAAATGGGGGGGGTCTGTTGTTGATGATCCAAATAAAGAAAGGTATACATTATATTGGTCTATATTGAGGGGTCCCGTAACCACCCATGTGTTTGATTCGACCACCGGCTCGCACAGCGCCGGCGCACTCAACAGCAGGCCTGCCCCTTAAACCCTGAAACTCTAAACCTTTAGTTTAGCTCCACTAAAGCTCAAAAACTAACAGGTCCAAAACCTGAACCCCAAACCCTGAAGCCCCAATTCCACAGCATGTCTCCTAGATCCTAACCCCGAAACTTAAACCGCGCAAGTCTCCTCTCCAGCCTTGCAGCCTAGACAACAAAAAATCAAAATCCAAATGCGACATGGGGCATTGTCAAAGGAGATTTCCCTTTTGAAAACTCTGAAGATTGCCATTTTATATGAGAGCCCCAAAGTCGACAATGACGTTGATAACCTGCCATACTTTATACCCTTTGCCCTAGACTCTGAGGCCCTTTTGGGATCATGTATCTTCCCCGGTTTGCATGCTGTAGCCTAAGCCGGACAAACCAGTGAAACCCTGAGCCCCCCTTACAAGCAGATCTAATTGCTAAGTTGACAAAGGTTAAGCGTTTCGGGTTTAGGGCCCCTTACTTTTGGGTCCTTGTATGCCTAGTCCATCTTACACATACGTTTATGACTGGAAACCCGGGCAACAATTAAGTTTTCAGCTGCTGGTGCAACATATGGTAGGCAAAAAAACTCACCCAATAACGTTGAACACCACTTTCCCACCCCCTAACATTAAATAGGAGGGGACGGGTGTTGAACATTGGAACCCTAAATCACAGTTGTTAACCCGTAATTCCAGAGAAATTCCAACTCAGACGTCCCCTCCAACACTTGCCTGCGCGTTCCTCAAACCCTAAACCATATGAGGATTTGGGGCTTGGGGTCTAGGTTCGCCTAAGACGTGTAGTACTCGTACCCAACTGGTGGACACTCGTTGGACCCTTACTAGGCACCCTGTTTGAATGTACCAGTTCAACACTTTGCCTTGACGTTCCCTAGTCCTAAGCCCTATTTGAACGCAAGTCCTACAACTGCAAAAACTTTGCTCAAAGTGGCTGCTCCTGCATGCTCACAGAAACCCTAAACCCTAAGCCCCAAAACTCTAAACCCTAAACCCTCAACCCTGGAGCTCTAAACCAAAAACCCTAAACGGTCCTCCTCCGGCACCTGCCTCAGAGTTGTGTATGCCCGGCTCTTCGCGAGCTGTTTGCTCTTCAGCCGCTCCTAGGCTTCCAGGAGAAGTTATGCGTTGTGGCTTTAGGGGTTTAGGGTTTTGAGTTGATTTTTGTTGTTTTTTTGAATAATGGTTTAGGGTTTTGATGGTTTAGGGTTTAGGGTTTTTAGTGGTTTTAGGTCTTTGTAGGGCTTACGGAACAAGACATACGCAAAAGCTTGCTGGGGTTTCTGATTTAGGGTTCAGGGTGTGAGGTTTGGCGCTTAGGATTTACCTAGAAGGCCAGAAGCTTATGCTCTATGTAGGGTTTAGGGGGATTATAGGGTTATAGTCTCAACTCCTATTACCCTCCTTAATAACCCCTCTAATGGAGAATCGAATGGAAAAAACATGGAAAATGAAATGGAAACTGGGATTGTATAGGGGGTTATAGGGGTTATAGTCTAAACTCCTAGTATCCCCCTTCAGAACCCCCATAATACTTCCCTATAGAATCCCTTATAGAACCCCTGTAAGGAATTTAGACGATGGCTCACATATTCATAGCTACGCGTTGCAATTTTCTGCAGCTGGGGGTCAAGTAGCCCATCATCTTGGGTAAGTAGGCTCAATACTGTTTTTAGCGCCATCCGGGCAACATGCCATGTCTTAGCATTTGGGCGTTGGTACCAGCCATTGCGAGCTGAAACTACACTGGGTTAATGGTTTGATTGCCTTAGGTCTGCTGGGATCAGGCTTTGTATAACCCTAAAAAAACCACATCATCCCTCTATAAGCCCCATACAATCCCTAAATAGCCACTGTGAAATCCCTATACACCCCCAGCACTAGGAAGCACATCCACTCGGTGTCGCATGGAGGCTCAGGTTCTGGAATGTCGCAGGGGTTCAGAGTTTAGGGCTCCGGGCTGATCTCTCATGCCCACCCAGACCACCTTCAAAGATCTTCCCAAACGGAAGCCGTAGAAGCACGACGCCCGCACTATGGGTTGTTCTCAAAATTTGGTCGGGCCTTAGATAACCTTGGGGTATAGGAGCTACCCAACAAATTCCCCACTTTTAAAAGGCATACCCTAGGGTCCTTAAAGGGCCCTGTTTTGAGAAACTTCAGGAGTGTCACACTTCTGAAGTCCATTGTCAACGTACGGAACATGGTCTCCTACTTGACTTTCGGCAGACCTGTGCGACATCTCACCTCAGGTTTAGCAGTACAGCATATGCTTCTGCCTACAGTTTGATAGGAATCGCTCCCGAGTTTGTAACGGGTGAGGTAGAGAATTCGGGTTACAGGTGGGGTTCGAAGGCCGCAAGTTTGGATCGGAAGCTGTGGTGTGCCAGAGTTGGCAATCTGAGCTTCTCCGGTTTATCGTTTAGGGATGGCTGGAGAGAAGCATGGACTGCAACGTGCTGCGCATCATCGCCTAGGTACGCATGCTACAAATCACTTTTCTAATGCGATCTATACGGGTATCTATAGCTTACAGGTCATAACCTGATCGTAATTTGAGGCTTGTCCTAACTTCCTCATTGCACACGCCTTTTGAGGCTGCCACGCAAGTGTGACACCCACCCACCCCTGCTGCACAGGTGGGAGTGGCGTTAAGGAGCTAGATTTTGAAATCAATCTGCAGGCCGAGGCCAACGACCTCCACGGCAATGTGCAGGCCTGCATACGTACTATTTCAGCGTCGGCTCGAGTCCGGCAAGCTCGGGCGACACAACGTGGCCAAGGAAGTAGATTGTACCATCGGTATCACTCAGCATGAAAATGAAAGGTCGGTCTACCGTCATCTGCATTGGTGGTGGCGGCATGCACCTTGTCATCATCACAGCGCCTGTTGCTGCTGCCGCAACCGTGCCCTCCTCATTCACTTCAAGCGTCGCCTTGTGAACTACTTCGCTGAGGTGCACCTGTGCGCCGGCGTTTTAGGGATTGTGCTGGAATGCTTATTATATATCCTAGACACATATATGAAACCTTCGGGGGTCCTTTATGTCCCCCCCCACAAAACCCGACATTGTCAAGAATCACTTTAATGATTCCTTTTTGCACTTCCCTGCATAACACGCCTTCTCCCCAAAATGTGTTCTCGTATATACTGTTTAACCATGTTTATGGCAATTAGGTAGAGCCTCTATTTGCTTCCCCTCAAGCACCTGTGGGTCGTCCGACATCTTTAGGAAACCCCCGTCCGCGTCAAAAGTTGCCTTGAGGCCCAATTCACCTTGGTTATGTCCCCTTAAGTAGATAGAATATTAGGGTTATACTATGGGGTTATATTGGGATAATGGAAAACAGAATGGAAACTACTACTTAGGGTTTAGGGCTTAGGATTTAGGGTTTAGGGCCATAGTCCCCCTTAAGTAGATAGAATATGGCTTTGGGTATATTATAACAAGATCCCCAAAGACCCCATATTCTATCTACTTAAGGGGACTAGAAACCCTAAACCCTAAGCCCTAAATAGTAGTTTCCA